GGCATAAACCAAAAGCACGTGTATATTACGGGCAGTTTTACTAGAGTTTAACACGTGATTTTTGAGGTTTTAAAGTCAAATTTAAAAGTCGCACATTTTTATCAGTGGTTTCACATTCCTTACGGAAAGTTATTAAAATATAATACTACGTTTCCATAACGGTGAAACCATTAATACTTTAACTGGTATTTATGGTAAATAGTAATAGTTAATTTCACGGAATAAAAACCATTTAGGATACGTGTTATTCTTTTTGTTTTAGAAGGTTTTAAAAACGCAACAGAAACCAAGCGTAACTATTTTCTGAGTTGTGCCGGCTGGGTGAGCACGCTTCGTTGAGTTTCGGTAACTTTTAACATAAAAGCGATCGTTATTAAGTAATTTTTTTGAGTTACTTTTTACAAAAATTTTAATAACTGTACTTTTTTATTGAATCAAGTAGAATACGTTTTAATATTAATCCGTTTTTTTTTTTATTTGCGCTCACCAATTTTTAAAATGTTTCCTCGAAATTACTCTTAAATACTTTAAATACGTCTAACAGTAAATAAATATTTTTAAATCTATGGAATAATTTTAAAACCTAACAAACCCCCGTAAAATAATTATTTAAGTTTAAAATCTAAAACTAAAAGAAAGTATTTTTGTTCAATTTTATCGACAACTTTGCTAATGCTGAATAATTTTATTAAAATGTTAGCTTAAAAGATTTAAACTTTTTTTTTTAATCTGAATTTTTTCTTCTTGTAAATAATGATTTAATTTTTTTTAATTCAAACTTTTATTTCAACTGCGTGCGGTTTTTAAAATACTTTATTAAATGTTAAAATAATCGTGAATTACTTCATTAAAATTCCGCTCAAAAATATCTTTAAATATACTCAAAAAAAAATTTTTTTGCTCGACGCAAATAGCCCTAGCTACAAAATCGCTCTTGGACGACGTAAAATTCACATCGCCCGACGCTTTATCGCAAGGCCTGTACATATAGAACATATTTATCTGAAGTTAAAAAAAAATATATTGAAATCGTACAGTCAGATTTTTAGAAAATTGATTTCTAATAAATAAACAAATCTATGATTTACGCTAAAAAAGTATTAAGTAAAAATACAGTTTTGGCGCGCAAAGATTTTTGTTTCCTCTATTTATTTATATTTTTGTGAAATTTTTGTATTATTTCATTGATTTACGTTAAAAATAAAGCTATATCATTGGCTTTTCAGAAATTAATTAACAAATTAACTGTTGCCATATAAAATATTCTCTGTAGTTAAGAACCGTAGCCATTTTAAAAGTTCAAAAGTTTTTTGTATTTTCTTACGCATGCGTACCTAAACATAGCGCTTTTTACTAATATCTAAACGACCGTGGAATATTTCAATTGGTTAAGTTGTACTGACGAATTCGCCTCTCATGACTCGATGATGAAAAAATCAAGTTCTACGATAAAATAATTTTTGAATTTATTTTGATTCAATGCATTAACAAAGAAAAGACCCTAATTAATAAACAAAGTTTTTAAACTAGAAACGTTTACTTATTTATATGCAAATTCATTTTGCTAAAGTAAAACATGACGAACTCGCCCGGCCTTACTCTAACTGAGAAGCCTTAGCTAGTTTTCGATATGGTAAGACATGGAAATACAATGGATAAAGACTTCACTATTGTAAAAAAAATTTAATAACTTTTATAAAGATTTCAACAGTCAAAAAACATAAGGTTGTTAGATCCTTTTATTTTGACTTCTTACAAACCGCCTAAAAATGGCAGAAAACGTACTTGCCCCATTATTTTCCAGAAAAAATCTAGAATTTTCAAAATTAAAAAAAAAATTTTATGTTCTAAATCATGAGTAGATACAAGATATTATGTAAAATTAAATTTTTGTGTATGTCAAGCTCATATTAGCTCCAACTTTTATAAATTTAAATTATAAGTTTATTTAAAAACTGTGTACAATAAAAGCCAAAAATAAACAAGTTTTATCATTTCATAACTTAATTTTATATGTTTACTATTTAATATTTGTGTCACGCTATCGACAAAAATATTAAATAGTAAACATACAAATGTAAATATAAAATACTAGCCCAGAAAAATTGTTTGTGCGGTATTAAAAAATTGTCCTGTTGATAAAAAACTGTTTGTGTGATGTAGTTATTATCTATTAGACTTGTTTGATTTTCTTATATCAGAGTTCTAGACATTGCTAATAATTTTTTACTTTATTACAGATATTTATTGGAATGAAAATCAATAAATATCTATTTAGTTTTATATTTTTCAAGGACATTATATTGCTAGTTAAATTTATTAGGTATTAACATAATTAAATAATATATAGGGTAAACTGGGGTAAAGTGAACTGTTTTTGATATTTAAAGGAAATATTTTCAAAATAAAAGCCTAAACATTTTGCAGTTTTCAAAATTTATACCATTTAAAGTATTAGGTACAATATAAAACAAAATACTAAGATTAAAAGCTACTTTTACAATATTAAATATATATTCAAAAAAAACATGTCCACTAGTTCACTTTACCCCCACATTGGGGTAAAGTGAACTACTTCATCTTTAACTCTTTTGTGTTTGTTATTTCTAATAAATTAGTTTTTTTATTTTGTATTTTGCCTTGCTGCTTGATCTTTCTTTTAAAGCATTCGTTTTCTTCATCATTTAATCTTTTAAATGCATCTTCTGATGTAAGACACTCACCTCCATAGTGTCTTTTTATTTTTTTTGTAGGTCGTTTGTTGTATGAACGACCATCACCCTTTGTGGCCATTAACTGTTCTTTCACTATTTCTCTAATGATTTTATTTCCAGTAGAACAATCTACATTTGATATTGATAGTTGATTTATTTTTTCATTGTTTAAGTCTTTTCCTACTGATATTATAGTTTTTTGTGAATTGTATTTATTTGTTGATTCAATAGAAAAATTTTCACAAGTATCGTTCTGATCATTGACATTGGTGTCTAAAACGATGTTTTGAGGGACGTTATTATTATAGTTATTTGTTTTCTGAGAAAAAGGGTGTTCATAGATTTCAGAAGGATTTAACTTGTCAGATGCTATAGCAGATGGATCAAAGGGAAAAATTCCAGTTTTGGCAAAGGATTGTACTAAATGAGCTGGCTTAAAGGAGGTATCATAAAGTTTTTTTAATAAAGATGGAAAAACAGATTTCCCAACCACCTTCAGCCTTGACTCGGTATACCAATTGGCCAGAATTTCACGCCATACATGTTTAACTTGGCGAAAGACTCCTACATCAAGTGGCTGAAGCAAATGCGAACAGTGTGCTGGCAAACACAAAATAGTTATATGATTTTCAACTGCTTTTTTAACAGTTTCTAAAGAAATATGACTAATGTGACCATCAAAGATAAGCAAAACAGGCTTGGGTGTGTCTTTCAACCATAAAACAAGATGGTTAAAGTATTCAGTGAAAACTTCTGTTTCCATCCAACCGTTTTTTGTCACCCCATATAAGGAACCATTTGGTCCACCAGTCATCCACTCTTTATACAAATTCTTCCCAGCAAATAAAATAAATGGAGGAAAATTTCTTCCTGCAGCTGATATTGTTGCTAGTACAGTAAACTGTTCTTTTCCTGATCCAGGAGCAATAGATACAGGGTTTTTAATACCTCTTTTGCAAATAATTTTTTTATTTATTGGGTTAGTGCAAAACCCACTTTCATCGCAGTTTAGTATTTGGGCAGGTCTATTCATAATGTCACATTTTTCCAATGTTGCTTTAAGTAATAAAAACCAAGCATCAATTACAGTTTTATTACAAGCTAAGGCTCTTGTTAATGTCAAAAGCTCTGGAGTTCTTATAGATATTTCTTTCTGCCAACGATTTAAAAAATTACAAAACCACTGATCACCAGCAACACCATTAACAAATTTTTTCTGAAATCCGTTTAATTCAATATACGTTTGAACAAGTTTCATAAATTGTTTTTTATCTAATCCAAATCCAAAATCAGAAAATGCAGATAAAAGTGAAACAAGATCTTTTTCAGCATCAGCAGATAATCGGTTTGGTCGCCCTTCACCAACTTTTGAGCATTTTATGCCTAGAAGATGTCTTGCAATTGTACTTCTTGGAACACCATATTCTTTTGATGCAGCATACGAAGTCATTTCTTTATTTTTAACTTTCGAAATGGCATTTTGCAACAAATTAGGTGCATATGTTTTTCTTCGAGATTCTTTTTTCTTAATGTAGTTTCTTGGCATTATTTCAATATATTATATTTCTGAAAATAATTTTAAGAATATTTAAAAAAAAAACAACTTATTTTAAGAGTAAACAATTTAGTTAAGTAATTACAATTTATATATTCAGTTCTACTAAAAATATTTGATGAAAAAACATAAGAAAAAGACTAGTTCACTTTACCCCCAATAGGCAGAAAAATAAGGGGTAAAGTGAACTAAATTGATTTACAAACTAAAAGCTTAGCTTTTTTATATTATGATAAAAACTACAATTTTTTTTTAACAGCATTATATTATCTTTAAAATGTATATAAATTATATAACTGATGTTCGCATTAATAACAACAAATCATGAATTTACTAAAACCCATAGCAAAGTTTGAGATCGTAATTTTAAAACTTCCGCCAAACTCGCTTTTTAAAATGGCTATTACATCAAAACAAAGGCTATATTTTATTAATTTTTTTATTTAAAAAATTTCAAAATGTTGTATTAAGCAAAAATAATGCTAAATTACTTAACAAAAAGTTTTTTAAACATGATAACTTTTTAGTTTAAAAAAATAGTTCACTTTACCCCTAGTTCACTTTACCCCAGTTTACCCTACTATAATACTAATTATCAATTCAACTATTCTACTAATTTTAAATTTAACTATATTAATAATGATCAATCTAACTATACTACTAATTATCAATTTAACTATATAACTAATTATCAATTAAAATACATAAATGCTATTTATTTAATAACGTACGTTTCTTCGAATTTTTCTCAAAAAGTTCAACAAATCTCCATGTTCCATATACTCAACAATTAAACACAATGGTTTTTTAAGTGTTGAGCAACCAATTAAATTAACAATATTCTTATGGTACCCAATTTCTTTCATCAGATTCATTTCTTCAGCAAAATCACTGAGTTCTGATGGATCAGCAGAATCTATATTCATAATAAATGCAAAGAATAGTTAAAAGTTTATTTAATGTTTTACATTTAATAAATTTTTAATTATTTATTTATTTTTTTCACGTAATGGAACGATTTTTTTCATATATTTAAAATGTTTTAATCTTAAAATAAAATAATTAACTATAACTATTATATAAAATTTATTTAAAATACAATAATAAATTTAGATAGAACTAAAATTACTGATAACACCTTACTTAAACAAGAAACCAGTTCGTACCATTAACCGATAAGGTGCTTTAATAAAAAAAATGATCAAAGGCTTCATTGAGAAAACAAGGATGAAGAAAGAACTCATATTTAAGAAAATATATTGTTTAAAAATAATAAACTAAAGTTTTTGGAGTGTATAATTTTGGAGTTTATAAATATTTTAATGTTTAAAGTATTGCTTTTTTTATTATGAAGTTATTAACGTGACGCACACAATTATTGATGTATGACACAAAGCTATTGATGTAGGACACACATTTATTTGTTTTAGTGTTTACCTCTCAAAGGCGAAGAAAGCATGAAAAGTGGGGGGAGGGGGGGATCAAACTCGAAACTTCTTGCTCATAAGCAAGAACTCTACCACTACACCACTATTGCATTCAATAAAAATAATGATGTGTGACACAAATTTTAATGAGTTGTGATGCACAAGTTATCATGGTGTGTTGTAAAATTTATTGTTTATAATGAAAGTGCAAAATTATCAACAAATGATGCAGAAAATTGTTAATGAGTGACAAAAAAAAGTGGTAAAGCACTCCCTTCACTATTTAAAAAAAAAGTTCATTTGCAATAAGGTTGCATTAACAAATTTACTTGGAACAAGTTTGCAAAAACAAGTTTACTTAAAACCAGGTTGAAACAAGGCAAACAGCAACAACATGGTTTTAACAAGGCAACCTCCAACAACAACATTGTAACAAAACAACTTGCGAAAAGGTATGATATATATATATATATATATATATATATATATATATATATATATATATATATGATATATATATATATATATATATATATATATATATATATATATATATATATATATATATATATATATATATATATATATATATATATATATATATATATATATATATATATATATATATATATATATATATATATATATATAATGTATCAGCAAACAATTAATGGACGAGGTTTCTAACGTCCAAAAATGGGATTTAAAAAAATTTCTTTTAAAAGATGTTTTACTAACTGATGCTCTCATTTTTGGGGTAAGGCTTCAATCATAAAATTCCTAATTGACGCGAGCATAAGCAAAGTTAGGTTTTGAAATGTAAAAGTTTTGTTACATAAAAAAAAGGAAATTAGTAATTACAAAAAACAGACTTAAGTTTATAATCTAAACAATATTTAAAAAAGCAATCTCCTTAGTTTTTAGAAAAGGAACAACAGAACTTTCTAAACTTTAATCTGTTTCAATACTTACATGATACAGTAAATTTTAAACAAATCTGCTTTGATATTTGATATAAAGTTTTAATGACAACTTGAATTTATGAAAGTTTTAGTTTAATAGAAATTCATATTGATGAAATCTTTTATAAAAAATACTGAAAATTTACGAAGTTGTTAAAAAAATTATATAATATTTTTTAATAAACTTTTAAATCAAAATTTTGTGTAATAAATTAGGAAAAAAAGCAACAACTAAGCGTTATACCTTTTACAAGTTTCACAGCAACTCTAAAAGTGTTTTCTGAAATATCATGAGAAGATATGACAGAAGATTGATTAGATTTCTGTTTCATTTTCTTTCTTTTTAAAAGAACAGAAGAACTAAGTCTTGCAATAAAAACAGTACCAAATGCCCCTTCCCCAATTTTTTTATCTAAAGTAATATCTTCCGGAAAAATTTCCCATTCATCTGGTGTTAACATCATCATTTGATATCTTAAAATAAAAACAGATGTTTATATATATATATATATATATATATATATATATATATATATATATATATATATATATATATATATATATATATAATATATATATATATATATATATATATATATATATATATATATATATATATATATATATATATATATATATATATATATATATATATATATATATATATATATATATATATATATATATATATATATATATATATATATATATATATATATATATATATATATATATATATATATATATATATATAAAGTTATTGACAAACTAATGAAAACGTTTTAAAAGTTTATATGAACGTAACAAACGATGTAATTGTGACATCATATATTCAACATTTTTCAATTTTACAAAAAAGTGTTTTCAATCGCGAGTAATCAGTTGCCACAATTTAAAATGGTATTTTAAATTTTAAACATTTCACCCTTTGCATTTCAATGGTCTCATGAATTTTTTTTTTGTGTAGTTGTTTGAAATGACAGAAGGCGTTATAGGGTTTTCTGAGTTTACATTACCGTTACAATTTTGTTAATGTTCAAGTATACCAGATGTATCCCTGTTTGCTTATGTAAAATTATATTTATGCTCTTAAATTCGTGTGAAAATCTTTTTTTTTAGGCGTCACCAATATAACATGCATCACATGTACAATCATGCTCGTACACTCCTGGAAGACTATTCGGTGACAGTTTAGACTTAATACGGCAAAATATATTGATCAAGACATTACCAAAATGAAAGACTGTTTTAATGCCAATTTTCCAAAAGTCTCTTCAAAGAACACGGCTTAATTTTGGGTAAAATAACTTTTGGAATTAATTTTTTGAGAATACGATGAATTTTTTGAATATTTATAACTTTTAGCAATAACTTAATATTGCTTGTAGGAATGTCCATTTTCAGTAGAAATTTTAATAAGAAAATTGGTTTATTTAATTTTTTTACTAAAATCTTAAATACGTTTGTAATTGCATTCTTGCAATATTATATTTGCGAAGGGAGTAATTGGTTCAAAAATAAACATCTAAAAAATATAACTGGTGTTTAGCATTTTCGTATTCGAATGTATATAGGATAGATTTATCTTGTGAATTTAAAAGTGTTGAAAAAGTTTTGCGTAAATAAAACTAGTAAATCAATCTTGGCTATTATCAACATAACGTTCTTAAATTTTTAGTGCAATAATGAGGTTATGTATTAGAATCAATATGCTAACATAAAGACCATTATGGATAGACTTTGGTTTTATGGATTACGGATAGAATTTGGTCAGAGTGATGAAAATATATTATATTTACCATCAAGGATAGTTTACACCATTTTCAACCATGTTTAAACGGTTCAGCCTGATCTAAATTTTTCTGTAAATGGACAGGATTTAAACCCTTATTTTTAATACTTCCAAAAGTTTAGAAGTCTCGGTTGATTCAATTTACTTTCTTAATAAATAAAAAAAAGATTTTTTGTGTTTTAAAAAATGATCTTTCTAAAAATTTTATCTGTCAGCCCAATGTTAAGCATGTCTTTATCTTGTTTTCACATTGCATATATATAAATAATATTTTTAATTAAACACTTCATTAGTTTGACATAAATTAATTTGCCGGACTTTTTGAAGCTTATTTTTGCAATATATAAACAACCAAGTAATTTCGGAGTCAAGCAGTTAGAAACTATTGTCAAGTATAAGAGTTTAATCAAATACTTATTGGATGATTAGGTTCAAGTTGATTTAATAAATATTTTGTCTGTATATACTAAAAAAATCAAAAATATTTTTTTAATATACTTTCTTTATTTTAGTTTTTTATTTAGGTTAGGCAACTGAGTTTTTCGGTGATTGAAAATTGGACGGTTTTGTAAAAATGCTTTATCACAGGAAAAGGCATACTAAAATGATTTATTAATTGTTATTGTTTTGGTTGTAAAAATTGTTCTAAAAATTGTTATATAAATAGTTACTTTATAACAACCCAGTTAAGTGTATTATTATATGTCTCTTTTATTGTTTGGCTTTTTTATAAACTTTTTTTTTTCTCTTTAGTTATGTAGGGGAGATGGGGGCGCATTGATTGCCGTTGCAGTATTTTGAAAACTGCAAACAACCCGATCTAGATATAAAAACTTATTAATTACTAAACTAAACTAAAACAATCTCTCTTTAAGTAAAAATAAATGTTTTAATAAAAAACATTAATGAACGTGGTATATTTCAACATTACAACAACCCTTGCAAAAGATCAATGTACCCCATGCAATGGGGTACTATGATCTCCGATATGGGGCGCTTTGATCTTATATGAGTAACATTATTTTCATGTTTAATTCTGCTATACCTAAGATCTACAAATTCATTAGTTGAAGGGTATTAGTGTATATTATATAATACATCTAAAAAAAAAGTAAAATTTAAAACATATATATATATATATATATATATATATATATATATATATATATATATATATATATATATATATATATATATATATATATATATTTTTGTTCTTTATTACAATATTTAATACAATATTTACAAATATATAATAGGAAAAATTTACATGCAAAAAAATCGTTTCAAAAAAAAAAAAAAGAATCAAGATAATGAACGCGGATACTCAAAGAAGACCATACAGGTCTTGTCACCGAGAACCGCTGTTGAAGAACTTTGAACTTAGTTTAGATTTTAGGAAAAACAAAAATAAATAAACACAAGTTTTTAACTTTTTTAAGTTATGATCTTTATGGCTGGAATTAAAATACTAATTCTTCTGAAACGGATGATTCAAGCGAAAACAATAATATCATAGTATTCTTAATAAATAAATACGTCTCGCATCTGGCTCGATCACTGATTCTTGTTACTCAAATCTATCTTACAGTTACACTGATCTTAATTGTTAATTAATTAATAAATAAACAAAAATAATAAGAATATGATTGCACTAGGTACATCCAAATGCACTTCAAGATTGTCCAAAAGATTGTGTAGAAGAATTTAGATAGCCAAATGATGGTGTCATTGTGTGAGAAGCCAAAATTATCAAATGTTGGTGCATTTACGTTAACGCTTTCCCCGACAAAAATGCTAAACCACTGTCAAAGGATGATTAACTTCCAAAAGTATCATACATACAATGTTTGCAGATACATCCAGTCACATACATTAAATTTATATATATATATATATATATATATATATATATATATATATATATATATATATATATATATATATATATATATATATATACATATCATTACAATCTAATACACACCAGTGTATAAAATATACATTAGAAGAATAATCACAATTCTATCTATGAAAATAAGCCCGTTATATACTACGAACATAATATGTGTTAAGTTTTACAAAACTTGAAGCTTATAAAGTCTATAAGAATACAGTATTTTAAGTTTACAAAGAAAATACAAGATTCATACAAGACTTTTATTAGAACTAAAGTTTACAAGATTATTTTTTTATATTATCATCCTTTGTCAAAGTCAAGTCGTGATGCTGCTTTTACATTACATTGTTTTTTGTTCCTAAGCAAGTAGTTTTTAACTTTTCCCCTTTTTTTATCTTTTACGATGAGTTTCTTTTGTTGGTTGATTTGTTTTAGGGTTTTCTTTTCTTCTGACAAACGAATTTCATTTCTGATTGGAGTATCAGTCAAAATCCTTGTTTTTAATTGCCTACTTTTAACACATTTTTTTCTAGCAGATGCTTTCGGGTAAGGTTTCAAAACTTCAGGTGAGAGTAATGAAGCAATGCTTGGTGACACTTTGTTCGAAAAACTTGTTTCATAATGTACTACAGGCGTTTCAGGCTCCATGCCATTTAAAGTTCCACAAGAATTGTGTTTACTACATTTGGAGCAGCACAATCTGTAACTGATGATGGTAAATATTCATCATCTTTAAAAATTTCTGGATTAAATGGCTCAATGCCAGCTACTTGAAATCCTCTCTGTATATTAGATGGTGAGAAAGCTTTTGTATATAGTTCGCGAGCTATTGAAACAATATCATAAAAGGTCTTGAATTTGTGACCATCCAATTATCACACGCAGCATTGTAAAACCTTTTCAATGGTCCAAAATCAGTTCTATCCAATGGTTGCAATTTATGGGTACAATGGGGAGGAAAACTTAGCATTGTAATTCCGTGTTGAATTGCAAGATCCAAAGCTCTAACAGAAATATGACTTTTATGGCTTTCCAGAAGTAACAAAACTGGAGATTCATGAGAACAGTTTGAATACCTCACAAAATATTTTATCTATTCTATAAAAATGTCTGAATTCATCCAACCATAAGGAGTTGCAAATCCCACGCATCCAGGAGGATCTTCCTTTATCATGTAATCATGAAATTTGACCCTAGGAAAAACAAATAGTGGAGGAATAGAGTTTCCAATTGTATTTGAAGAAAAACATACAGTTACTAATGTTCCTCGTTCTGTAGATGTGATTCTTCCTACTTGTTTACTTCCTTTACCTGCTAACACTTTTACAGGCTTTTGTACTGTTGTTAAATCAGTTTCATCAACATTATATATGCAATAAGGATCAAACTTATATCAATTTCTTACTGTTTTTAGATTTTGGAAAAATTCTCCAACAGTGTGTCGGTTAAAGGCAGTTGATCAAGCAAAGCTAGTTGCTTTAGGTGTTCGTAAACACAACTCTAGCTGTCTTTTCATAAAACCTTGCAACCAATCAATCCCTGCAATTTTATTCTTGATCCATGATGAAGGGCAAATCTTATTATTTTTTACAGCAAACTCGTATGCCAATAATCGTGTTGACTTAGTTGAAAGTCCATAGTTCATTTTTGATGCAAGTAGTAACAAACTTTTTTCATCTTCTGCAGTAAAAACTTGTTTATTGTTGTAATTAGGCTTAAAAGTTCATTTGGGTTGAGCTTTTTTTTATTACAATATCTTTTTAAAGTCATTCGATTTATGCT